CGGCGTCCAGGTTGACACCTGATCTTAGATCATTTGGGAGAGAGGATTGTGCAAGCTCTGTAATGAGTGTTGGCTGTCTCTCCACTATTGTGCAACATTGATAGGCCAACCGAAATTGCATCTTCCTTATCTATCGCTATCTCAACACACGATCGAATCGAAATCATGCTTCCTGATGAAGGTAGCTGACACCACACCTGCCTTTGTACAGTAACTGAGGTGTCAAGAGGGTACCAACCCCCCTTTCGTTGAAATTTTATTTTCGTAATATTGTTAATGATGCAAAGAGTGACAAACATATATAAAATGTATAGCCCTTAGCTAAAGAGCTCGCGTGGTCTTGCATTCTATCTGATTTACTAGTACCAGCTGTGAACATTGATAACACTCAAAGAGTTCCTAAATTGGATGCCAAGGCAAATTAAGTGGTATGCCGGATGCCTAGGGTTGGCACCCTCCATCATTTGGAACACCTGCAACTCATTCCTTCACTTGACCATGAATACGGGAGGTAAGACCATTACAATGAGAAATGGCGCGTCTCAACTGGAACTGAAACATTATAAGATTAACTCCTTATAGGAAGTAGCTCATCTCAACGGGAGATAAAACATTAGAGACCAACTCATCTGTGGCGTGGCTCAACCGACGCTAAATGACCAACTTATCAGAGTAGGAAATGGCGCGTCTCAACCGACGCTAAATGACCAACTTATCAGAGTAGGAAATGGCGCGTCTCAACCGACGCTAAATGACAAACTCATTATGGAAGTTGGCTGGACTCATTTGGTGCTAAAACAGCTAAACCAGTATACACCAAGTAGATCATTATAATAGGAAGTGGTGCTGAAACAAAAGTGAGCCATTAACTATGGGACGCGGCGCGTCACAACGAGATGTGAAACATTAAAAGACCTTTTTACCAGAAAGTGGCTCGTCTCAACGGGATCTGAAACATTAAAAGACTAACTCGTTATATAAGGGGTGCGTCTCATCCAGAAGCTTAGAACTTTTTAATAGCTCTCAATATAAGTGCAAAAGATCGACTTCCAGACGACCTCAGCTGACACTACAACTGCCTTTCTACGGTAACTGGGGTATCATTGGGTATGGACAGCACCCGCAACTCATTCTTACACTTCACCATGGATGCGGAAGGTTATACTTTCCCCACTAATCGGAACATTCTGACCAGCAAAATACACTATATCTACTGAACACAGTCTTCACAGAGAAAGTCCAGCATAGCATGGCTTTCTCAGAATGGAGCCCACGTGACCACGGACAGTTGCAATGTGTAACCCATGTCCAGGCACCTTGGTCGTCTAGGTATAACCTACAATTGTAGAAGGACATGTTTACATTCAGTTAAAGTCACCGTGACTACAGAAACTATATGGAGTTAAAGTGGCACCAAATTTAAACCACAATATTGAAAAAAAATGATTCTGTCAGGAAAAATAATCTGCTTCGCCTAGGTGACTCGTCTCAAACTGGATATGAATCATAAAACAACTTATTATAGTAGGAAGTTACGCGTCTTAACTGGAACTCAAGCATTAAACGACCAACAAATAATACATATAGGATTTTGCGCATCTCAGCTGGATCTGAAACATTAGTGAGCATCACATTAAGCTAGGGGGTGGCGCATCTCAACTGGAGCTAAAATATTAGTTGCGGTAATCTGACCATGGTTGCTGTAAATAACGGTCAGTTGTGCGATCTACCGATCACTTCACAAACGATTTCGTCGAAATTAATGTAAACAAAAGTGAATTAAATTTTGAATACAATTAACGAAATAGGTTACAAACATAAGTCCAGATATACAATGAACACTTTTATAATCAGACAGTGTAATTACATGATTAATTTGCTGAATGTGGCAGCTATAGGGGGCGTGGCCTGTATCTAACACAATCAGCTGAGCTCTTATATACTAAAACTAATACAGACAGTGTAGCATTGCCGTGACGCAGGAGTGTAATTTAATAGTACCCGGTACACCTTAAGCATAATGCCTTGACATTTACGCGCAAAAAAATAAATATTCTTTTTCTTTGAAGACGTAAAGTGTACCAGACCTGTGTTACCTCGTTAGCTTTCAAAAGCCTTGTGATAAAAAAATAAAGTAAAATTCAAATTGTCAAATTCAAATTATGCAATTCTTTCTTTCTGACCCAATTACGGGATTAAAGTAACATCAAGACACCCGGTGTTCAAAGCCACACTCGGTAATATCCTGGTAAAGTGGTCGTAAAGTGCGACCAAATGGATCAATATCGATGACTGGGTTGTCTGGTCCTGATTTTATTATAGACGTGCCTCCGTTAAATATATATAATATTGGTGAGTGCGGCTTTAAACAACAAACACACACACGTTGCAAAATATGCAATTAATCAGTATCACAGTCCAAAATGCGGCCTTTCTCACCAGAACGTCATCCGATATACTCCTTCAAAGTTGCTCAAACAATTCAAGGATTAAGATCCAGCTTGCAACACGACACGCCGTTTCGACACAAGTCATTACGCCAGCGTGTCCATGTGACTGGTTAAGGATGTATCATATTTCACAGTTTACTCATCTAATATATGTGTAGGACCCTTGTGTTTGCGACAATCGGTTGACGTGTTAAGCCAAAGATCCAAGTCAGTTAGGTTCATTCCCCCCAAAGTAAAGGTTAAGCACACACTGCCAACAATACACACTGATCCGCCAACACAGATGACTACATGTATCTGCACAGCATGTGCTCAACGGAACAATAGGCACACTCATCACTGACACAACGACGTTGTTTTCCTTGTCTGCACCCGTGAAGATCCGGAGTAGAATAGGTCTTCAGCAACCCATGCTTGCCGTAAAAGGTGACTTTGCTTGTCGTGAGAGGCGACTAACGAGATCGGGTGGTCTGGCTCGCTGACTTGGTTGATGCATGTCATCGATCTCAATTGCGTGGATCGATGCTCATGATATTAATCACTGGATTGTGAGGTCCAGACTCGATTATTTACAGACCGCCGTCATATAGCTGGAATATTGCTGAGTGCGGCGTTAAACAACAAACCAACCAACCAAACGAAGTGCAGAAATGTTCGGGTGATCCTGGCACAGTGAGGCTGCTTAGGCTCATCATCAAACTTTTTGAAAGTTTAATTGAGGCCTTGAATGTTGCAACTTTCATCAAACAACTTCTGAGTAATAGTCGTATGACGCTCTTTGAAATCTTGGAAAAACGAGCATGTTCGATTGTACCTCAAAGGATGCGAAATGTCCACACCAAAGGCTGGAGCTGCAGGAACATTGCTCGACACAAAGGAAAAGTTTACTATTGCAAGTTGAAGTCATCCCTCTCGTCATTGTCACCCTGAATTTGTATGCATAGATCTAAATATGAAACAGACGAGGCGGTCTCACTGGTCTCATTAATTTCTATTTTAGGTGGGTGGATCAGTGGAAGGGAATTAGACAATCGATATACCTGCAGCTTAGGTTCAGCTTCTTGGCCAAATTACCTTGCACTTAGTTTGCAAGTCCGAGCAGAAATTCTGATTCACATGCCCCCCCCCCCCCCCCCAAAAAAAAAAACACCCCACAAAAACAACAAACAACAAACAACAACACACACACACCAAACAACACCAACAACAAAAACAACCAAAAAACAAACAAACAACAAAACAAAACAACAACAAAAAAACAAAAAACAAACAAAACAAAACCAACAAAAAACACAAACAAAACAACAACAAACAAACATCAGCAAGAAGGGGAGCTATTGGTGCCCATGGGGATGCCTACTTCTTGCCTTAGTGGTTTACCCACAAATTTCACATAGATGTTATCAATGAGGAAGTCCAGCATTTCTCAGTAAACTTCAGATCGCATTTGCTTTCATTTTTGACAAATTGTCCGGAACCTAGACAGATATGTAACTATATCTATGACCACCTCGTTTAGTAACAACAGCCCCATGGTTCAAGGAATGTCGTTTGTCATGTGGGATAGAGGTGTACAAAGTTAAAAAATCAAACGTTTCGACAGAATTGAACCTGGTTCTTTTCCGTGAGAATCCACATAGTATTAATTCCACTTGTCTCAAATAATGGTGTTGTACATTTGTTGGATCCAGCAATATTTGTTCGGATTTTAATGGAGCTTTCGATTCCAGTTAATTTCGTCACTGTACAAAAGAGGAATGGACATGTCTTCCGGTTTAGAGTCAAGTCAAAAGTTGAGGGTTTAGTCAACATACCGGCCTTATATGTGGCATTAACATCATGTCCTTATATGTAGGCAACGCATAAAGTTACGCCTATTACTGAGGCTTTGGTTTGAATCCAACCAAACAATGTAGAAAGAAAAATATTTATGGATGAACAACTTCCTTATTACAATTAAGAGCGACGTTTCGGTGTAGGTTCTAATACCGTTATCAAGCAAGTCATCCATCAATCTTATCCTTACTTTGTACTTCAACTTCTAATTGCAAAAGAAGTTAAAATTGGTAAAGCAAACAAATACGGAGACAGGATGTGAATAGTTGGAACACACGATAAGCCATACCTTGGATAATTACGTATGTCTACTTTATTCATGAGTGGACGCCTCATGACTCAAAGCAAACCACTGAAACATACATTCTCACACGTGTACAAACTTATTAAAAAGATATGAAGGTTATAAAGAAGTTATTTCAACTTAAATGTCTCCTTTTGGTATTGCATAGTATATGCTATGAATGATTGATAATATTTACATTAAGAGTAAGTGAAGTCAAATGTCTGAGAGACAAAGGATATGCGTTAATTGTTAGTTAATACCTGATATTTCAATGACACAGCAATACACATGTATACCTAATTCTCCACTCCATTTGAGGCCGCCACAATCTAACTAGCGAGATAAACGCGATGGCCCTTCTCCGCCTTCATACATGCTTGCTATTGTGTAACTTATACCCGACTTCCATAGGCTGAGAACAGTCAAGTCACACCCAAACTATTTCGCCATCCCTACTGTATTTATTCACACCCCTCCACCCAGGCAAACACATACCGCCACCTGTATCTCGCATACTCCAGCATATACCGCCACCTGTATCGGACTGTGATATTCGTATAACCAGGAGACATGGGATTTCGTGAGGCATCCAAGTTTTCAAGAATTGCTTTTGGGTTGGCGGTTGGAGGTTTTTTAACTGAGATTATCGGATTTCCAACACCCTACTGGGTATCGGGCGATGGGTTTTCCCAGGGCCTATTTCAGACGTGTACAATTCTTGGCTGCATTAAAAACCCGTCTGAGTCACGTAAGTAAAGTATTGTTTACTTCCAGAACGATTATTAAACGCTATAAGCAGCAACAGACGAAAAGTTGCTTGATTCAATATGTGACCTTTCCAGATCAATCAATCATTATTCATGGTACTAATGAGGTCAATGGCATGTAGTTCTTTGCCTGGGGCGTGTTACAAATTCAAACATTTTCTCAGTAACATAGCATGGTAAATGAACAAAGATAAATTTCTCCTACTTTCTGTGACATTAATTTACAAAATTTGTTAACATTTGGGTTGTGGTAGACATAGTTATGTACATATTTTGCTCTTAAATCATTATACACTGGACATCCACATAAAAAGTGATATTCATCTTCAATACAATCCGTTTTACAAATCCTACACAGTCTATGTTCTCTTGCAATACCTATAGCTACATATCTGTCTGTTTCATGTGAGCTTCAACGAAATCGAGAAAGATCTGTTCTAAACCTATGTAAATCGACACTTTATTAGATAAGGTCCTAGTATACTGAACCGCAAAAGAAACGTCACCCCAAGTAACATTGCATGAAAAGTTGTCATTTAAATATCTGGGTAATTTTTGTCAAAGTTTCTAAACTTTAAAATTACCTTGTCCGGAAAAATGAAATTTGGTGATAAAAAGCAGATGACAATAAAACCGATCGCCCAAACGCATCACGGCACGGCCATGGTAACACGATGCACGTGAGTTCCGTGCAAATTGAAATGCACATGCGTTCCCCCATTTCTTGCCCTATAAAAATCCACCCAGATCGGATAACATTCATCCGTTATTGAATTGCTACCACATGCCAAGGTTGACAAGGAATCAGCGACACCAAGCCCTTGCACGATTGCAAGACGTCAGTATCGTCAGATTGTGCAACAGCATCTTCAAGATCGCTTTGTGACTGCTGCTGTTACTGTTTCTTGTACAAGCAGCCACACACACGTGCATGAACGTCGCTATATAAGTGCAATAATCTTGGACGCGACGTTAAACCCCATTTCACCTCACCTCACTTTAAGTTAGGAACGGGAAGGTGATGTATAAATAATTTCTTAAAACATGGAGGCGATCTCAGATATGTCACTATGCCGAGTAACAGAGTAGAGACAGAGCTTTAGTGGCTTTTGGTAAATGTCAACATTCTGCTTATCTTTCTCCAATATTAAGGGGGCGGTCGGGTAGCCTAGTGGTTAAAGCGTTCGCTCGTCACGCTGAAGACCCGGTACAATATGTGAAGCCCATTTCTGGTGTCCCCCGCCGTGATATTGCTGGAATATTGCTAAAAGCGGCGTAAAACCATACTCACTCACTCACTCCAATATTAAGCTGTCTCACCATGTTCATCCTTAAACAATGTTGAAAGCGGCATAAATACCAACGAACGAAGTAGACACAATGTATGGATAACAACTTCTGTAATACTGTAAAGGAGACGATTCGGCATAGATCCTTATACCGTTCTCAAGCGAAGATAAGTTGTTATCCATAAATTGTGTCTACTTTGTCATCCGTCAACCCCATCATTTCTAATCAATGCCTATCAAACAGTTAATACCAACTAACTTAACACATCACCAACACATCTTACAAACACTTACGTCAACCATGTCTTTAGTTTTAAGCTGGGGCAAGGCAGTGACTAGCTTAACACATCATCAACACATCTTACAAACACTTACGTCAACCATGTCTTTAGTTTTAAGCTGGGGCAAGGCAGTGACTAGCTTAACACATCATCAACACATCTTACAAACACTTACGTCAACCATGTCTTTAGTTTTAAGCTGGGGCAAGGCAGTGACTAGCTTAACACATCATCAACACATCTTACAAACACTTACGTCAACCATGTCTTTAGTTTCAAGGTGGGCCAAGGCAGTGACTAACTTAACACATCACCAACACATCTTACAAACACTTACGTCAACCATGTCTTTAGTTTCAAGCTGGGCCAAGGCAGTGACTAGCTTAACACATCATCAACACATCTTACAAACACTTACGTCAACCATGTCTTTAGTTTTAAGCTGGGGCAAGGCAGTGACTAACTTAACACATCATCAACACATCTTACAAACACTTACGTCAACCATGTCTTTAGTTTTAAGCTGGGCCAAGGCAGTGATTGCAATGGAGATCCTCGGGTTCCTGGCCTGCCTGGGCTGTGTTGTCCTCATGGTGCTGTACGTGCATGTGAAGAATGACCAGAAGATTCTCCAGACTGCAGCAACTGGGTTGGCGTTTGTTGCAGGTTCGTGTTAATGGATTCCTATCGCAAAGTCATGCAAACAATTGTTACAATAGCCACAATGTAAAGGAACATACGAATGTATTTTAATGCCGAATAGTTTATGGGCGGTCCCTAAGTACATGTGTTTGTTGTTGAATCGGATTACGAGAGTATCACGAGATATTTGAGAGTGGCGGTTACTAGTGTAAATATCGAGTGAACACGAGTAATCCCATTCAACAACGAACTTCTAGCGGAGACCCGTCAATCAAATTTCAGCTCTGCAGTCGAAGAACATAAGAAGGCTTGTAAAAAACATCTTGTTAAAATGTCGCAATTCCACTTACCTTACGTTTCTGGTGTAAGTATCCAAACCCCAGCCACAGCATTACTTCCGTAACAAGGATGCGTTAGTGTCTACTTCTAACTTGAAATGAGTGAGTGAGTGAGTTGGGTTTAACGCCGCTTTTAACAGTATTCAAGTTATATCGCAGCGTGTCAGCTTAATGTGGGAGGAAAGCCCGACGTGATGCAGGTCTCAGACGTTTACCACTTCGGTGAAACCCAGGAGCACGGGTATGGTGCTGACAAACCTAGAAACATAATCGGGGTGAACCGGGATTGGAACCCACAATCATAGGTTTCTGGCGTGCCCAAGGGACGCAACTCTGCACAGCGAATCGCGGCGCCTTAGACGACTGGGCCACCCGTGCCCCCTCGTAACGAATGACCGTCCATAGGAACATGTGCAGGTACTTGAGTCTATAGTCTTCTCCTTTCAGCGGGATTCATCCTCGTCGGAGTCATCATTTACGGTTCGGAGCTGTCGGGCGCCTCGTTCGGCTGGTCGTTTGGGATGACCATAGTGAGTGGCCTGTTCCATATTGGTGTTGGTGTTCTGAACGTAATGGACAAACTCTCACCACAGTGAATGAGAACAGCGGGCTTGCCACTGTCTAGTGGCCTGTTCCATATTGGTGTCGGTGTTCTCAACGTTCTCTGACGTATGTTGGAGCCCAAATGTACACATGTAAGGTTTATGCGGGGTATTTTTTAGTTTCCCTGTCTTGGATCAATAAAACTGTTCGCTTGTTCTGTTCGATTATTATATTCTGGTGGGAATTCCAGGACGGCAGGTCGATGTGCACAATGAGCGTCTTCGAGAAGACAAAAGAGGACCATTTCGTCAATTCAGTGATCGCTGGTTTGTCTGGTCCGGGGTCGATTGTTTAAAGGCGATCGTGATGCAGCTTAAATGTTACTAGACACATAGACAGATGAAGACACCCAGATACACACACGCACACGCACACGCACACGCACATGCATACACAGACACACACATCCAGAGAAAGAGTGACACACAAAAACTGATCTGGCCACACTGACATAGATGTAGACACAGAGACATGCAGACATATCTACACAGACAGACACACAGACACACAGGCACAGACACTCATACACAGACACATAGACACTCATATACAGACACACGAACATACATACACAGACACACATACACAGATACACGGACACACATACACACATACACATACACAGATACAGGGACACATACACAGACACACATACACAGACACACGAACATAGATACACAGACACACATACACAGACACACGAACATAGATACACAGACACACTAACATAGATACACAGACACACATACACAGATACACGGACACACATACACAGATATACGGACACACATACACAGACACACGAACATAGATACATAGACACACGGACATAGGTACAAAGACACACGAACATAGATACACGGACACAGATACACAGACACACGAACATAGATACACAGACACACGGACATAGATACACAGACACACGAACATAGATACACGGACACAGATACACAGACACACGAACATAGATACACAGACACTCATACACAGACACACAGACACAGACACTCATACACATACACAGATACAGGGACACATACACAGACACGCAACAGATACACAGACACACAGACACAGACACACAGACACAGACACACAACAGATACACAGACACAGATACACAGACACAGACACACATACACAGACACAGATACAGGGACACATACACAGACACACATACACAGACACACATACACATGTACACATACACTTACACAGACACATGCACACAGACACAGACAGACACTCATACACAGTCATACAAACAGACACACATACACAGACACACGGACACAGACACAGATACACAGACACTCATACACAGACACTCATATACAGACACACATATACAGACACACATACACAGACACATATACACAGATACACAGACACTCATACACAGACACTCATACACAGACACAGATACACAGACACAGACAGACACTCATACACAGTCATACAAACAGACACACATACACAGACACACGGACACAGACACAGATACACAGACACTCATACACAGTCATACAAACAGACACACATACACAGACACACATACACAGACACAGATACACAGACACACATACACAGACACTCATACACAGGCACTCATACACAGACACACAGACACAGTAACACAGACACAGACAGACACTCATACACAGTCATACAAATAGACACACATACACAGACACACATACACAGACAAAGATACACAGACACTCATACACAGACACTCATACACAGACACTCATACACAGACAAACCTACACAGACACAGACAGACACTCATACACAGTCATACAAACAGACACACATACCCAGACACACATACACAGACACAGATACACAGACACACTTACACAGACGCTAATACACAGACACTCATACACAGACACACAGACACAGACACACAGACACAGACACAGACACAGACACACAGACACAGACACAGATACACAAACACTCATACACAGACACACAGACACAGACACAGATACACAGACACACATACACAGACACTCATACACAGACACACAGACACAGACACAGATACACAGACACATAGACACAGACACAGATGCACAGACACTCATACACAGACACAGATACACAGACACAGATACACAGACACTCATACACAAACACTCATACACAGACACTCATACACAGACACACATACACAGACACAGACACAGACACACAGACACAGACACAGATACACAGACACTAATAAACAGACACACAGACACAGACACAGATACACAGACACACATACACAGACACTCATACACAGACACACAGACACAGACACAGATACACAGACACACAGACACAGACACAGATACACAGACACTCATACACGGACACAGATACACAGACACAGATACACAGACACAGATACACAGACACAGATACACAGACACTCATACACAGACACTCATACACAGACACACAGACACAAATACACAGACACTCATACACAGACACTCATACACAGTCATACAAACAGACACACATACACAGACACACGGACACACACACAGATACACAGACACACATACACAGACACTCATACACAGACACTCATACACAGACACTCATACACAAACACAGATACACAGACACAGACAGACACTCATACACAGTCATACAAACAGATACACATACACAGACACACGGACAGAGACACAGATACACAGACACATATACACAGACACTCATACACAGACACTAATACACAGACACACGGACACAGACACACGGACACAGACACATATACACAGACACTCATACACAGACACTCATACACAGACAGACACTCATACACAGACGCTCATACACAGACACTCATACACAGACACAGATACACAGACACAGATACACAGACACTCATACACAGACACAGATACACAGACAGACACTCATACACAGACCCTCATACACAGACACTCATACACAGACACACGGACACAGACACTCATACACAGACACTCATACACAGACACAGATACACAGACACTCATACACAGATACACAGATACACAGACACTCATACACGGACACAGATACACAGACACTCATACACAGACACACGGACACACACACAGATACACAGACACTCATACACGGACACTCATACACAGACACTCATACACAGACACACATACACAGACACTCATACACAGACACACATACACGGACACTCATACACAGACACACATACACAGACACACATACACAGACACTCATACACAGGCACTCATACACAGACACTCATACACAGACACAGATACACAGACACTCATACACAGACACTCATACACAGACGCTCATACACAGACACACAGACACAGATACACAGACACAGACAGACACTCATACACACTCATACAAACAGACACACATACACAGACACACATACACTGACACAGATACACAGACACACATACACAGACACTCATACACAGACGCTCATACACAGACACACAGACACAGATACACAGACACAGACAGACACTCATACACAGTCATACAAACAGACACACATACAGAGACACACGGACACAGACACTCATACACAGATACACAGACACAGACACAGATACAGAGACACAGACAAACACTCATACACAGACACTCATACACAGACACTCATACACAGATACACAGACACAGACACATACACAGATACACAGACACAGACACAGATACAGATACACAGATACACACTCATACACAGACACTCATACACAGACACACATACACGGACACTCATACACAGACACACATACACAGACACACATACACAGACACTCATACACAGACACTCATACACAGACACTCATACACAGACACAGATACACAGACACTCATACACAGACACTCATACACAGACGCTCATACACAGACACACAGACACAGATACACAGACACAGACACAGATACACAGACACAGACACAGATACAGAGACACAGACAAACACTCATACACAGACACTCATACACAGACACACATACACGGACACTCATACACAGACACACATACACAGACACACATACACAGACACTCATACACAGACACTCATACACAGACACTCATACACAGACACTCATACACAGACACAGATACACAGACACTCATACACAGACACTCATACACAGACGCTCATACACAGACACACAGACACAGATACACAGACACAGACACAGATACACAGACACAGACACAGATACAGAGACACAGACAAACACTCATACACAGACACTCATACACAGACACACATACACGGACACTCATACACAGACACAGATACACAGACACTCATACACAGACACTCATACACAGACGCTCATACACAGACACACAGACACAGATACACAGACACAGACAGACACTCATACACACTCATACAAACAGACACACATACACAGACACACATACACTGACACAGATACACAGACACACATACACAGACACTCATACACAGACGCTCATACACAGACACACAGACACAGATACACAGACACAGACAGACACTCATACACAGTCATACAAACAGACACACATACACAGACACACATACGCAGACACAGATACACAGACACTCATACACAGACACACAGACACAGATACACAGACACAGACAGACACTCATACACAGACACTCATACACAGACACTCATACAAACAGACACACATACACAGACACACGGACACATACACAGATACACATACACAGACACTCATACACAGAGACTCATACACAGACACTCATACACAGACACTGATACACAAACACAGACAGACACTCATACACAGTCATACAAACAGACACACATACACAGACACACGGACACAGACACAGATACACAGACACTCATACACAGACACAGATACACAGACACAGACAGACACTCATACACAGTCATACAAACAGACACACATACACAGACACACATACACAGACACAGATACACAGACACTCATACACAGACACACAGACACAGATACACAGACACAGACGGACACTCATACACAGACACTCATACACAGTCATACAAACAGACACACATACACAGACACACGGACACACACACAGATACACAGACACACATACACAGACACTCATACACAGAGACTCATACATAGAC